AAGCGCCTGTTAATATTGGGTCATTTCTATACTCAGGGCTATTTTGGGGCAGGAACGCAAAGGAACCGAGTTCCGGCTGGCTTCAGAGTTGGCCACGCCCACTACAGCCAAAACCTCTGTGTGTGTGGCTACAGAGGGAAGGCCTGGAGAGCGACACACCCCCCGAGGCGGGTAGGCCAGGGGGGGCCCTGGAAGGATCGCAGGAGTTTGCGCTAATAAATTTGAAATATTAATCAAAAAGATTTCATACAAAAGAATGTACAATATTTGTATAACATATCAAATACAAGTGAAGACGGTGATCTCCGGAATGTTCTGCCATTTCGAAACAAGTCTTCTTCTGAACAATGATGTATACCTTACAAAACAGTATAAAATACATTTACATTACTGTGAACAATCTCAGGTAATTACACAATCAAATCTATAATAAAACTACTAAGATAACCTCACATGTGGCGTCTCTCTATTTCATTTCAACTGATTTCATTCAACAGGCCGACGTTCACAACAACCGAATTATCCCCGGAGATCAAAGCTAGGATTGACCAGAGCGTTTGCCTTTCCAATGACAGGAACGGGGATTTTGAAACTCAATATCCCTCCCGCAAACACCAAGAAAAGATGACAACTTAGCTCCCTGTCTCCTTATTGCTCGCTGGAAACCCAGCGGCATGTCTACCCTGCAGCCAACGCAGAATATCTTAAACACTCTCTTGCAAAACGGCTCACTTCACACTCCCGAAAACTCAGCTGCAGACATATGTCAGCGTGTCTCCAGACCGGCAATGCAGTCGAACGACAGGCCCGGGCAGAACAATTAAACTACCGTCGATATGCTGCCGGAAATCCTCAACTTTAAATCAACGAGAAAATTTTTTTTGTGAAAATAACCGTTCTTCTAGGAACAAAGGGGGGAGGGTAAATTTTCAAGATGCTTTCTACTGGAACCTTCGCTAGAAATGAGTACAGTGGAACTGGACAGCTTTGGCAACACAAATATCCGCATTCCCCGGTGACAAAATTTTAATGTCTTAACTGGTCCTCTTTTTTTATTTCCTAGTAAAACTCTCCTGAGTTAAGAACACAAGAACATAAGAGAAGCCAATGTTGGATCAGGCCAATGGCCCATCTAGTCCAACACTCTGTCACACAGTGGCCAAAAATACCAGTGCAATGCAAGTCTGTGATCAGGCAGGCAAAAAGGCAAAAATACCAGGTGCCGTCAGGAGGTCCACCAGTGGGGCCAGGACACTAGAAGCCACTGTTGCCCCCCCCCCCAAGCATCAAGAATACAGAACATCACTTGCCCCAGACTGAGAGTTCCTATCTGACCCAGCTGAGCTCTGAGAAGGAGCATGAGATAGAGTTTTAGCATCAACTGGAACAGACTAAAGGGAGATGGTCGTGGCTCAGTGGCCAAGCGTCTGCTTGGCATGCAGAAGGTCCCAGGTTCAATCCCAGTTAAGGATCAGGTAGTAGGTGATGGAAAAGACCTCCATCTGAGACCCTGGAGTGCTGCTGCCAGTTTGAGCAGACAATACTGACCTTGATGGACTCAAGGTCTGCTTCAGTGTAAGGCAGCTTTGTGTGCGATCATCATCATCATCATACCTTTATTGGCATTATAAAAGGGAGAACATTGAGCATATACATAAAAGAACTAAACATAAAGTGAATCACGAATTAAAATATCCCAAGGTTACAGCATATTACTTCGTATAAAAATGGCAACACATAAAAATCTTGCCACTGAATCAGTTATATTATCATCAGTGTTGTTAAACTGAAACAACAGTTTATATGCATCAGGAAAATCCACAATGCTGGATAATACTGAAGATAAAATACTTTGCCTAATATTATTATTATGAGGACATTCTAACAACACATGGGGCACTGTTTCAATAGTTCCATTTAAACAGGGGCATTGTCTGTTAATAAGGGGTATACCCTGAAATCTTCCAGTTAAAACCGCTGACAGTAAAGCATTAAGCCTGGCAAGAGAAAAAAATTCTGCAAATTTTTGGGGTTTGTAATTGGTAGAAATAACTAGGGAGAAGTCCTACAGTGGGGAGCAGGGGTCATTTCCTGCGGGAGCGCACAGGAGCGGAGCTCTGGCAGTAAGGAGCCTAGGGGGCGAGCACATGCAACAAGCCCCCCCCCCTGCTCTCAGCAGCCCTCAGTTGGGCCACGAGGAGCAAGAAGCAGCCAGGTAAGTTGCAGAGCCCCCTCTGGCTCGCCTTCAGGTACAAGCTCTCCCTCCTCTGTGAGGGCAGATTTGCGTGTCCCCCCCCCCCATAGCTAGCAATCCAAAACAGTCCAGCGGCACCTTACAGCCCAGGGG